TCCTGTAATTTCTACCGTATTTCAATTGTCACGGGGGTCTAACGATACCCCATATTTGAGTGAAGTATATACGTTACTGAGGATTAGGTAGTGCGCATGCGTGGGAAAAATCCCACGTCCTGGCATCACTGCTCATGCCCCGAGTGCCCCATTTCCAGGTCGGAGGACATTTTTGTTACATCCTGTAGAGTTATTTCACAATTATACTGCTGAATATTTAAAACATGTCATTATTAGTACATGCAGCAGATTGGGTATACCAAAATTATTTTCCATCACAATTGGCTTAACCCAGACCACGAATGACTTTTCCAATAGGTCATTGTATTCGTCTTGAAATACTCTATCAGAATGTAAGTAAAAAAACATACCGTTCTATTTTAAAAAACAGAGATGACCTTCATATCTCCTTGACGCCTCCACCTATCAACAAACTAGTAACATCGGATGATCAGCACCTCGATACCAAATAATTTTGGCCTGATGCATTTTTTCCTACAACCAATAGCAGCCAAGTTATTCAGGTGGCCGGTTATAAGTGCCTCACCCTTATAATCTATGATACGAACGGAGTTAGGAACGAGTACTTGTGAGAAACCCTGTAGCGTTGAGGGACGCTAGGGATATTACATCCCAGCTACTATAGCGCGGAAGTTAATTAATGATGCCACGTGTACGGAACAGAGACTTTATTTCACGAGCACGTGAACGTGCTGTAGCTACAGCCACGGCCTGTTAACTCCCATTAGAATAGTATGGTCAGTCATAAGCTACCGGCCCTTATCACCAATGGTGCTAAAGTCGTATTTTTTGACACATGTACTTCTATGTAGTGCTATGTACTCGGTGGATAAAACACGTTTTGGCGGTGGAGGGAGTTCAAGCCAGGTATGTATTTTTTCCACAAGAAAAGACGACTTCATTTTAAAGGCTAAGAATAAGTATTATGTTTTATTTTTATATAACTTACATGCAAATGTATTTTTTCCTTCAATATTACTTATTTTTTAGATGAAATGGTGCAACCAGAAGATGGCACATCTCTGACTGCAGAAAGCCAGTTTGAGGAACTGGGTAAGTTTGTTTATATTATAGAATAAATCAATTTTTATGAAATTTATGTGTGCACATACTTATAGTCATTTTCACTTATTTTTCAGATATAAAGCAGTCATTTGATGAATGTGGCGTGCATGATTGTGTGTGCAAGATGGCTAGGGACTATTATGTAAAAAAGTATAGAAGAATGTAGTATGCATGTATCGTATGTATTGTTTGTGTTATACAGTATACAGTCCCTTATTTCCTAAATTATTTGAAACACGAGAGTTTTCTGGTATTTCAAATACTTTAGGAAATAACTGACTGTATACTGTATGTATGTAATGTAAAATTTTTAGCATGACAGTGAGTAACTGGTGACTACTATGTGGGATTGTGTATGGTAAATTTTTTATTATAATAAATTTGTTATTAGTTCGAAATTTTAAATCTGTATTACATTTATTACATAGTCTCTCTATATCATGTTAAATTTTGAGCGTGACAGTGAGTGACTGGCGGTTACTGTTTGGGATCGTGTGTGATAAATTTGTTATAATAAATATAATGTTAGTTGTTTGCAGTTTTAAACATGTTTATTAAATTTAAAATTGCGAACACCTAATATCAAATTTATTACAACTCAAATTTATCATACACGATCTCATACAGTAACCGCCAGTCATTCACTGTCTCGTCTATTATAAATCGTTGCGAAATTCAAACGCGTCCCGGATATCCGGCACTCGTTTTAGTACCGGCCCTTATCACTAATGGCGCTGCAAATCGACCAAGAAAAACCTCTGAGTTGTACACCCGTGGCTACAGCGGACAAGATAGTTCTGCCCAGTTCTGCCGCACGCATGCGGCAACGCGATGCACGCGCCGCCACTTTCTCCATGCGGGAGAAAGAGACATTACAGAGAGAGAGAGAGAGAGAGAGACGGCAGTATCCGCTCCCTACATCCACCGACGAGGTATAGGATAGACCTATCATCTTGTGGGACTTCGTGTCTCATGTTCTGAAATACCGATAGTGTAAAAAGTCAGGGATTTTCTGCTGCCCTCTACGTTATGAGAACGGTGAATTTGTGAACTACGTTAAATCCACTCGAGCTCAACTAGTCTAACTTCTACAGTGTTGTCGAGTCTAAAGTACAATATTGTCAGATCATGAGTGTTCGGTACGTCGGAAAATCATCGAAGGGACCATGGTCGTGAACGGATTCTCTTTCGTCCGTT